ATAAAGAGACAAATTTAATTAAGCTACAAAGGACAAGAAAGCCATAATCGTCAAGGTCCTGAAGGAACACGGGACAAAAAAGAAGAGTAAAAAAGTCTCTTCTCTGGATGTCCGGATTGTGTAACGGAAAGTCGAGTTCAAATTCCGAGCTAGTCTATTGCGTCTACTTTCACACTAATGCAAGATTCTCTTCCACCAGCTATGGGTTAAATAGCAACATAGATTGGCTTTCAAGCCTTCGGTGGCAACCAGTCTAAGAAAAGGAAATATCTGTCTTCCAAACTATAGAAAAAACAGAGGGGAAACCACCCCAGTATCTTTCCTATGCATGTATGGTAATTCACTTTTCATCGAAATATGTGGAGGGTCATATTCGCCTACGTCCTGAAATGTCATGGCATTAAAAAGAGTCGTCTTACACCGACAAAATTTGTTTATTCGTTTGTTTTAAAATATTATTGAGGTGTATTACTCCTGTCGCCTATAAATTTATCCTCACCCAACGTCATTATCAATGTTCTGTGTCCTTCAGGACTTGAGTGATCATGGCTCTCCGCAATGTCTTCTTCGGCTTACGGTCATATCACGTTCAAACGCCGGTCCCCGGATGAACCTGGCCCGTACTTAGATGGCCAGAGTGTAAGGGAATATCAGTTGGTATAAGCTTAGATGTGAGGGTGGTGTAATGGATAATAGCTCGGATTTGTTAATCGGAGAATCGAGTTCCATTCCCGTTGAGTTCGTTATATTCACTTACGCGGAAATAACATTGGGAAAGTTATGAATTCACCTCTTCCACCCCAGATACAGGTTAATTAGTAAGACTTGTATCACTAAACCATTATTACCTGAAAAATTTCTTACAATCTAAAAATGTTTTTTCTGGCTTTAAATAACCTGCAATGGGTTGATAAGCTATAAAAAACGTTTTCCTTCTAGCTCTAAACAAACTCTCCACTCCACATTGTCCTTGCTTTCCCATCCTTTCTTATAAACTCATTAGGTGAGCGACGATTCAATGAAGTTTCAATGACTTCCTCTATGCTATGTTGCTTTACAAATCTTTCTGATAGCGAGAATCATTCTGCACTAGCTTCTAACACAAACAGACCGTCCTGGGTATGACGATAAACAACATCCACGTCCTGGGTAAGACGATAAACTACATCCAACAGCAAGGCCTCTGATAAGGAGGTTTTGAGGAGCGTGAAACCACCTCTTAATTACTGGTGTTCCCAAATTCCCCCTAACCCGGGGCGGTAGCACCTGTTAGGGTATCAGCTATGGGCAAATAGTTAACTTCTAAACTGGGATCAAAACGTGTAAAAATAGGTTTTAATGCCATCAAAACATTTTTGTAAAAAATTATTACCAGCAATACATTTTTGGAAAAATATTGCCAAAAATACTCTTTGAAAAAAAATATTACCAGCAATAAAAATCTTGTCGGTATTAAATAACCCATTGAGGTGTTGATATGCCGTAAAACAAATCAAACCAAACCAAAAACACATGCATAATGCATAAAATAATTATTCATAAATATTTCCAACCGCCCCACCGCTCCTCTCCGTAATGTAAAATTTAAATATTAAAGAAAAAAGCTTACCCAACAAAATATTAAATAATTTTTTGACTTGCATAATGTCCATATGTACACTTGTATTAATACCCTGTGTTAAACAAATTCCATTACTCACTTGTATTGATAAAAATACAAAAATCGATTTTCTATGGTGTGTCCATTTTTTTTGCCTCGTACTGAATATAAACAAAAGACATACATTTGCATGTAAATAAACAAGAGTTATAAAGAATTTAGTCTATAGCAGAGATTCTCAACGTGGTTCAGGTTGACCACCGGTGGTCCACATAGCATTTCTAGTGGTCCACACAGAATTCGTAGCCATAAAAAATTATAGCCATTTTTGTCCCTACATCATTTCTTTCCCTACCACATGAATGATACAATTTGGATTTTCGGCTGTTGTGGATGTTTTCAGTAGAAAAAGAAATAAATTTGATCTCAACAGCAGAGGAACTCTCAGACTAAGAGTGAATGACATCATCAAAATTGATTACAATATCTTGTGTGAGAAACACCAAGATCAAGGTAGTTACTCGCTGAATGGACTAAGACTGAATGACATCATCAAAATTGATTATGATATCTTGTGTCAGAAACACTAAGATCAAGGTACTCAAGAGAGATTGACACCATCAAAAATGATATCTCGTGTGAGAAACACCAAGATCAAGGGACTTACTAGCTGAATGGACTCAGACTGATTGACGTCATCAAAATTGATTCTGATATCCTTCGGTTTGCTAAAATAAATTTTAAAGTGGAAATAGACTACTTTGCTTTTTCATTGAGTATTTTAGTGTGTATATTGAACTGCCTAAAAGTAAAAGTAAGAGTGGTCCATTTGATTTTTTTAAGAAAAATAGTCAGTGAACTGAAAAAATTTGAGAATCACCGGTCTATAGCATACGACGA